GGAGCTTTGGGGAGGAGACGGAGGCATGCCACACACAGTCTTTGCTCTCGTGGGGGTGGGGTTGGCGGCACAGATGGCGTCGCCTGAGTATGAGGTGTGTCTCCAGGCCCTCCTGCCCCTCTGGTCCAGGCTGGAAACTCCATCCTCCCAGCCCTGGCTTGGGGGAAGACTCTGCTTTTGGTCGTCCCCTTGGCACCTCGCCATGCCCTTGTGCACACGTCCCTCAGCTCCCTGAGGGGCCCTACCTGGTGCAAGGTGCTCAGGGGGCCAGGAGGAGCAAGCTTGCCGACGACAATGTGGCGAGGAACATCCTGACTGCCAATGAGGGCGCCGCTACGTCTCAGCGGAAGGTTTCATCTGTGTGCCCGCCTCCCGCAGGCAGGGCCATGCCCGCCTCGCTCCCCTGTTCCCTCCTCCCAGCATGGGAACTGTGAGTTTCCCCAACTGCTGCGTGTCTCCTGGGAGAAATGGCCCATCTGAGGACCACGGAAGCAGCCGCCGTGGGTCAGGGGCCCCACTCACGGTAAGTAGCAGTGGGCTGGGGCCAGCACCCAGTTGCTCTTGATGAGAACGCCCACGCAGGGGTTGAAGTGAGACTTGAGATACACCAAGTAGGGGGAGGGGTCATCCTTCTGCGCCGCCGAGTCAGCAGTGAAAAAGGACCCTGAGAACAGAGCCCACATGTCCATCCCGAGAGAAACCTCTGAGGACAAGGAAGGCAGTTTCCCAGCGGCAGAGGAAGACGAATGAACCCACTGACCAAAGGCTCAGGCACAAACCCGTCCGATGTTTGTTACACTAAACCTGCAAATTAACGCAGCATCCCGCTTTCTCCGATACTTAGAATGCTCATTGTTTGAAACGGAGACTATTCAAGCCAAGGAAGTGTTCGAGACAGACTCATTTGCTGACTGTAGGAATGTCATTGAACCTATTGATCCTTCTTGAAAAGCAATTTAGGAATTTAAAAACAATTACCTTGCTTGCACCCCCTCAAAAACAAACAAACAACAAACAAACACTCAACCCCTTGCCATCAAGTTGATTCTGACTCATTGTGACCCTACTTTAGGTTCTCTGAGACTGTAAATCTCAACAGGAGCAAGTAGCTTCATTCATTCTCCCCAGCAGAACAGCTGGTGGGTTTAACTGTCAACCTTCCGGTTAGCAGCCCTAGACCTAACAGACCCCTGCACTACCAGGACTCTGCAATTTAGGAAGCGCTGAGCCTCTGCCATTGGAAGACAGGGTCTTAGCCAACCATCTAGAAGAGATCCATAGTTGGACCCATTCCAAAGAAAGGTGACTCAACAGAACGTGCAAATTATAGAGTACTATCATTCATAGCACATGCCAGTACAATTTTGCTGAAGATCATCCAATAATGGTTGCAGCACTACATTGTCTGGGAGCTGGATTCAGAAGATGACGTAGAACAAGGGAGATCATGATTTGGCCTACTACCCCTCTTAAAAAAAAAACTCCCTAGTGCCTGCCTGGTCACTTTCGTACCACAGCCCATCGTCCAGGTGTTCCTTGGGCAGCCCCCCTGGGTTGTTCAGCGGAGCCTGGTGGTGTAGTGGTTAGGCAGTGGGCTGCTCCTGACAGTTTCTGGATTCTCCCCCATCGGTCCACTCCTATTCCCATATCATCAAAAGGGACTCTGGGCTCAGCCTGTCTCCCCACTTCCCTCCTGCCTCCCTTCCCTGAGAGTTCCTAGTGGGAGGCCTTGGGTACATACCAGCCAGGAGGCCCACCAAGAAGATAAGCTCCATGACCATCAGGTCTGGTCCTGTGAGACACAGAGAGGGTCAAGTGAGCAGGACCCCAGCCCAGGCCTTTCAGGAGTGCCGTGCAGTCAGGCGCAGGCCTAGTTGGGGCACCTTGGGTGGACAGGGCAGGGGGAGGCCTCCAGGACAGATGGATGGATGGAAGCCTTTCTGTCTGCAGGAGGCTGGGGGCTGTGGCTCTATCCTGTCCTGTCCTGGTGGGCATCTGAGTGGGAAGGCCAGTTCTCTATCTGCTGTCCCCAAATCCCATTGGCCTAAAGGTAGATCCACAGCCCACAGGAAAGGGGCTTGAGGCCGAGCTGTGTCAAGGGTAAGGGGACAGGAGTCTCACCTCAGCTAAGGAGAGACTGCCCAGCTCAAGGGGACACTGTCCCTGAGGGCTGCTCTGACCCGCCCCATCGCCCCGCCCCACAGCCCCTCCTGTCTTTGTTACAGCGCCCCCCTGTCCTGGTTGACTATGGCATCATCTTGTCATCACCACTTACTGGGCCTCCACTGGCCTGGGCCAGGACCAGTGACACCGGGAAGCTGTAGGGCTGAGAGGCATGGCTGTCAGGATGCCTGTCCACTGCCGTCAAGTCAGGTCCGACTCATGGCGATCCTGCCGGGCAGAGTAGAACTGCTCTGTAAGGTTCCCAAGGCTGTCACGTTTGCCGGAGTCCACAGCCTCGCCGTCTTTCCCCTACACAGTGGCTGGTGGATTTGAACTGTTGACCGAGGCCCATGCTTAAACCACAGTGCCACCAGGGGTCTTCCTAAAAAAGAACCCCAAAACCAGTGCCATCAAGTTGATTGCAACTCCTAGTGACCTTATCGGACAGACTAGAACTGATCCACAGGGGTTCTAAGACTGTCAGTCTTTAGGGGAACCGACAGCTTCATATTTCTCCTGTGGAGTGACTAGTAGGTTTGAATCATCAACATTGTGACTAACGGTCCAACGCCTAACCTCCAGGGCCTCCAGAGCCCCATAGAGCTAAAGCAGCCATGGAGAGATGCAGAGGAGAGCAGGGCTTGCTTCTTCATAGCTGGGACTGTTGATGATGACCAGGAGGTGGGAGTAAGACAGCCCGGTGTGGAGAGATTCCTCACAGATTTTAAACTTGTCCCACTGGACCAAACTTTTCAGCTTGTGGATCTTAATTACCCTCGGGATGGAAGGGCAGAAAGTTTCTCTAGCTTTCTCTTGATTGCATCCCTAGGGTCCTTGTGAATTGACTCTTTAGGAATGAGATCTCCTTGGAGACAGGCAGGGAAGAGAAATGAAGGAGAAAGGTGGAGGGAGGGAGACAGTCCGGCTCTTCTGTGGTTTCTGGACCTTTCCAGAAGGGGTGGTGGGAAGACAATATCCAGTGTCCTTGAAGGGGAAGCATCAGTTGATTGCTCACAGGAGATGGTCAACATTTGTTAGGTAGGAAAGAGGTAGTTTCGGCTGAACCAGAGCATCAGAGAACTCTCTAGCCTGCCTCCTTTTAATGGAGGTGTGTCTTCTCAGGGGTTCAGTGCAAGATAAGCTTCACCTTGGAGGATCTGAGCTTGGACATTTCTAGCATCACGGCAACAAGAGCCCGAGGAAACTGAGAAGTGGCTCCCGAAGTTGCAGAGAGAACAGCCCATCTCTCTTCGGCTTAGCAGAACGCTGGTCAGGACATTTCAGCCTATACCCTCTCCCTGAAACTCCTTATGGAATGGTACCTGGACCAAAACAGATTTGTGGGGAGAACTTGGTAGTCTGCTTCCCACAATTGGTCTAGCCAGGGCTAGAACTAGGGGACCGCAGGAGCTGTGCCTAACCCAGACACAAGCATAGCTAGTCCATTTCTCCTGAAATGGCCCTGTATTGGGCCAGGTGCCATTCTGTAAGGAGTTACGGGGAGAGGGCTACTTGTTGACAGGGCAGTTTCAGCGAGGGCAGGGAGAGCTTGCTTTAGAATTGGATGATCTCTGTTCTTAGAGTCATTCTTTATTTGATGGGTTCACCCATTCATTATTCCAAATTTCATTGACTGCCAGCTTGAATGTATCACACAGCGTGGACAACAAGCCTGCTTTCGTGGGGCCTGGTTTCTTAACTGGAGAAAGAGAAAAATCAGAGCATAAGCAAATAATCTCAGAGGAAGAACACTAAGAAGACCAACAGATTGTGAAGGGTAGAAGGTAGTGGCAGAATCTGCCTTTAGGGAGGATGGGAGCTAAGGCTCCTTGAGCTTAGACTCTTGGTTCAAGACTTGAGGGAAATGAGGGCAAACTCCTCAAGTCTTAGGGATTTAGGGCTAATGGACTATTCCATGCTAGCGACAGATTATTTTGCATTTCTCATGTAATTTTGGAGGAAAACACAGATAGAATCTTGGAGAAAAGAAGCATTGAATCTGGGGGAAGGTCCCAAGTTTTCTATTGGACTGAGCCATGGCAAGCCAGTTGTAGGATCTAGGCTGGTCCCAGAGCCCATGTTTGGTGGCTTTGATACCCGTGGTAGTTACATAATCTCATGTTAATTTGTGGATATTAAGAGTGAAGGAGTGGACTTTAGCCTGTCAATAAGGTCACAAGGTAACACCTCTCAGAGGGATTCTGGAAATTTCCTCTTTTTTTCCTGGGAAGAGGACCACACTCTCTCTGTTTCACCTTCCTGTTGACAAGACACATGGAGCCACGCTAATGACAGCCAAAGCCCTGGAGTTGGAAGAGCCACGTGGAGACCCACACCAGCGCTGAGATGCTTTTACCACCACTGGATCCACAAGACTTTCCACCCACTGGCCTGTGATCTTCCTGCATTTGGCATCATTGCCTATGTTGCTTGAGTCTGAAGAGGAATTTATGGACTGGTATCAGACATATGGGCTAATATCGGACTTATGGACTTGATCTGGACTGGGGTGGTATGTTTTCTTAATATACAACTATATAAAGCTCTTTCTTATACACATATGAGTGTCTATGCATTTGTTTCTCTAGTCAACCTGGTCTAACACAAGCCAAGGATTAGTGAGAAGACGATACAAGCTTCCCTGAATGCAAGGAGTGTTGATATTGGATTTGAAGTCCCTTGTCTGCTGGCCCAAGCAGAGGCTGGTGTGGGACAGATGAAGGTCACGGATGGGGGTTGTTCCCATTCTCTCCAGTAGACGCTTACCTTGAGCCTGGTGATGAGAAGTCAGAGTCCCGAGAGGGAGGACACTGCCTAACTCACCCCAAGCTCTGATGAATTTTGACTTCCTGAAGGAAGACACTTGCACCAAGGAGAGAAGGAAAGAGAGCTTACAGATTGAATGAAAGGGTTTGTATTAGTCTAGGTACTTTGGAGAAACAAATCCACGGCGACTCACGTATAAGAGAGAGTTTTATGTAAAGAAAAGGTGCATCAC